AGCAGATCATAATGATCAAACACGTTCTCCATTCTGAAGGACCACTCAGCAAAGTTGTCGCCGTTGAACTTTTCAAGCCCGAACACTCTTGGCTCATCCCTTGAAGGCCCAAGAGTAGGTTGCACGGGCGCCACGGCTGAATCACGGGCTTGGCCTTGTGCTTGGGCTTCTCCATTGCCTCCAGCACCTCTGCCACCCCTCTCTTCAGGTCCAGCCATCGTCGTAGCTGCTCCAAGGGGCTCGGATGCCACTTGTTATAGTCACAATACGCTCCAATAGGCTTCAATGTGCCTAGAGCCAAAGATAGAGTGCGCAGTCAGGTTTCTGCACAGCGGCTTTAAACGATCATAGCGATCTGCTCACACCTCCAATTGACCTCATTCAACTTGGATCTGGAGCGCCTTAACGTCGCCTACAATAGGCACTTTAGATCGCACGATTTCATTAAGGATTGACAACACAGCGTTGAATTGAACGAACGGCACTATGCAGCAACATAGTCTTAGGACACAAAGTTATGAACAGCTAGGAAGAGTTACGAGTTGGGAAGGACTCCCAGCTCCTACAAACCCCAAGAGCCGCAAGGTGGTAAAGTGATGGGGAACAGTGCCACACTGTCCCCAACCAAGAAGGGTCTCGAAACTACCCTCCACAAGGGCCTACACCCATAGAAATGTTACACTACACATTGTAATGTAACAATCTTCAATATCTTGAGGTGTAGCCTTTTGGCGAGCTTCAAAACACTTGAAGCTTGAAACCAAGGCTCGGGTTCTTCATCACAAACTCAACCTTGAGTTCTTGATAGGTCTGCTGCACACACCTGCGACACGCCGAACGTTCGACAAGCGACAAAATAGAAACCGCGCACGACAAAATAGAAACTGCGCGGGACACACAAAATGAGCCGTTAACACGCGGCTAGCGGTAACTCGCTATAGACTGAACACACACATACTCGATACATGACCCGTCATACACACACTATTATAAGCATGAAATATATATTTATTCCATGCACTCATACCACTCCATGCACACACGCATGCACGCACACGCACACGGACAACAAGCCGAGTGCAAACCGTAGGTTGCACCAACAAACTCCCCCTCGGGTTGTTGGCCTTAGGAACTTGCTCTCTCAGTTCAGAGCCATCCCAGCCAGCTTGCAACACTTCCAATGCTGCTGCTCCACCATGCTCTTAGTCATCATGTCAGCTGGCTGCCCCGTCGTCTTCACATAGCGCAATTCAACTTCACACGCGGCACCATGCTCCTCGTCCAATGCCACTTCACCCTCATGTGCTTTGTCAGGCCGTGTAGCACAGGGTTCTTGGCTAGAGCAATGGCTCCCTGGCTGTCACAATAGAGTGGGGTAGGTCCTTGCTGCTCCTCCCCCAATTCAGCCAACAAATGCCGCTGCCACACAATCTCCCGTACCCACGACGAAGAGTGCCATGTACTCGGACTCCACCGAGCTCAATGCTTGGTCCACCTGCTTCTTGCTCTCCCAAGCAGTTGGGCCTCCACCAACACAGCATATGAACCCTCCAACACTTGTCATGTCCTCTGGTTCTGATGCATAGGAGGCATCCGAGAATGCGGTGAGGAACAAACGCCCGGGTTCCACACCATCCGCGCCCTTTGGTGCCTTTGTGCCGCCGCCGAGTATTGCAGCCCAACGGTCGGTGTTTGGCCAAGGTACTTGGCCACCCTCATTCCAGCTGCTACCTGCTCCTCATTAGGGCATTGCACCACCCTAGCCAGCTGCCCGGTAGCAAACGCGACATCCGGTCGAGTGTTGACTGCCGCGTACATGAGGCTGCCCACCAACGAGTGAAAACGGCGCCTCTCCTCTTCACCCACGCTCTCCTCCTCTGGTCCCTTCACACACTTGAACCCAGAGGGAAAGGGTGTAGCCACATGGCCTTCATTCTGCCCAAAGTTGGCAGCCAATGCCTCCAGGTACTTCCGTTGGTGCACCCGCATGCACCGCTTCTCCACGTCTCGTTCGATGTGGAGCCCGAGGTAGAAGTTCACGTCCCCAAGGGACTTGCACTTGAATTTGTCTTGTTGTAGCTTCAGCATCACCTCCTTCACAAGGTCAGAGGAGGGTGAGAAGATGAGGATGTCATCCACGTACACCACCATGAAGCTCCTCTGCTCCCCCTCGCCAAGCATGAACAAGGAATGATCGGCCGTTGAGGGAGTGAAGCCGATCTCCTCCAACACTTCGCGCAGCTTCAGGTACCATTGTCTAGGGGCCTGCTTCAGCTCTATACAGGGCCTTCTTCAGCTTCCACACTCTGCCGCTGCCATCGTCAAACCCCTCTGGCTGCGCCATGAAAATCTCCTCCTCGAGGATTCCGTTGAGGAACGCCGTTACGATGTCTAGCTGCTTCACCACCCAACCTTTGATCGCGGCTCCCGCGAGTAGGGTTCGCAGCGTCGTCGGCTTCACCATAGGAGCAAACAGCTCCTTGTAGTCCACATTCTCCTTCTGCTGGTACCCCTTGGCCACCAGCCTAGACTTTCCGTCGGCGTCGGACTTGATCTTGAAGAGCCACTTGGACGTTATCGCCGTACGTCCCTCCGGTAGCTCCACCAAACTCGAACGTGTCGTTCTCCTCAATGCTCTTCAGCTCACTCTCCATTGCCTTCTTGCATTTTTGCAGACGCTAGGCCCTTGTTCTTGCAATTTTGCAGACGCAAGGCCCTTGTTCTTGAATTTTTGCAGACGCTATGCCCTTGTTCTTGAATTTTTGCAGACGCTAGGCCTTTGTTCTTGACCAATATTGCAGACGCTAGGCCTTTGTTCTTGCAATTTTGCAGACGCTAGGCCTGATCTTGAATTTTTGCACTCGCTAGGCCCTTGTTCTTGAATTTTTGCATACGCTAGGCCCTTGTTCTTGCAATTTTGCAGACGCTAGGCCCTTGTTCTTGAATTTTTGCAGACGCTAGGCCCTTGTTCTTGCAATTTTGCAGACGCTAGGCCCTTTTTCTTGAATTTTTGCACTCGTAGGCCTTGTTCTTGATGTTCTTGAATTTTTGCAGACGCTAGCCCTTGTTCTTGAATTTTGCAGACGCTAGGCCCTTGTTCTTGCAATTTGCAGACGCTAGGCCCTTGTTCTTCAATTTTGCAGACGCTAGGCCCTTGTTCCTGAATTTTTGCAGACGCTAGGCCCTTGTTCTTGTATTTTTGCAGACGCTAGGTCCTTGTTCTTGCAATTTTGCAGACGCTAGGCCCTTGTTCTTGAATTTTTGCAGATGCTAGGCTCTTGTTCTTGAATATTTGCAGACGCTAGGCCCTTGTTCTTGCAATTTTGCAGACGCTAGGCCCTTTTTCTTGCAATTTTGCAGATGCTAGGCCCTTGTTCTTGAATTTTTGCAGACGCTAGGCCCTTGTTCTTGATTTTTTGCAGACGCTAGGCCCTTGTTCTTGCAATTTTGCAGACGCTAGGCCCTTGTTCTTGAATTTTTGCTGACGCTAGGCCCTTGTTCTTGAATTTTTGCTGACGCTAGGCCCTTGTTCTTGCAATTTTGCAGACGCTAGGCCCTTGTTCTTGAAATTTTTGCACTAGCTAGGCCCTGTTCTTGATTTTTGCAGACGCTAGGCCCTTGTTCTTGCAATTTTGCAGACGCTAGGCCCTTGTTCTTGAATTTTTTGCAGACGCTAGGCCCTTGTTCTTGCAATTTTGCAGACGCTAGGCCCTTGTTCTTGCAATTTTTGCAGACGCTAGGCCCTTTTTCTTGCAATTTTGCAGACGCTAGGCCCTTGTTCTTGCAATTTTGCATACGCTAGGCCCTTGTTCTTGCAATTTTGCAGACGCTAGGCCCTTGTTCTTGAATTTTTGCAGACGCTAGGCCCTTGTTCTTGAAATTTTGCAGACGCTAGGCCCTTGTTCTTGCAATTTTGCAGATGCTAGGCCTTTGTTCTTGAATTTTTGCAGACGCTAGGCTCTTGTTCTTGAATTTTTGCAGACGCTAGGCCCTTGTTCTTGCAATTTTGCAGATGCTAGGCCCTTGTTCTTGAATTTTTGCACTCGCTAGGCCCTTGTTCTTGAATTTTTGCAGACGCTAGCCCTTGTTCTTGAATTTTTGCAGACGCTAGGCCCTTGTTCTTGCAATTTTGCATACGCTAGGCCCTTATTCTTGAATTTTTGCAGACGCTAGGCCCTTGTTCTGAATTTTTGCAGATGCTAGGTCCTTGTTCTTGCAATTTTGCAGATGCTAGGTCCTTGTTCTTGCAATTTTGCAGACGCTAGGCTCTTGTTCTTGAATGTTTGCAGACGCTAGGCCCTTGTTCTTGCAATTTTGCAGACGCTAGGCCCTTGTTCTTGCAATTTTGCAGACGCTAGGCCCTTGTTCTTACAATTTTGCAGACGCTTGGCCCTTGTTCTTGAATTTTTGCAGACGCTAGGCCCCTGTTCTTGAATTTTTGCAGACGCTAGCCTTTGTTCTTGCAATTTTGCAGACGCTAGGCCTTGTTCTTGAATTTTTGCAGACGCTAGGCCTTGTTCTTGAATTTTTGCAGAAGCTAGGCCCTTGTTCTTGCAATTTTGCAGACGCTAGCCCTTGTTCTTGAATTTTTGCACTCGCTAGGCCCTTGTTCTTGAATTTTTGCAGACGCTAGGCCCTTGTTCTTGCAATTTTGCAGACGCTAGGCTCTTGTTCTTGATTTTTTGCAGACGCTAGGCCCTTGTTCTTGCAATTTTGCAGACGCTAGGCCCTTGTTGTTGCAATTTTGCAGACGCTAGGCCTTGTTCTTGCAATTTTGCAGATGCTAGGCCCTTGTTCTTGAATTTTTGCACTCGCTAGGCCCTTGTTCTTGCAATTTTGCAGACGCTAGCCCTTGTTCTTGCAATTTTGCAGACGCTAGGCTCTTGAATTTTTGCACTCGCTAGGCCCTTGTTCTTGAATTTTTGCAGACGCTAGGCCTTTGTTCTTGCAATTTTGCAGACGCTAGGCCCTTGTTCTTGAATTTTGCAGACGCTAGGCCCTTGTTCTTGCAATTTGCAGACGCTAGGCCCTTTTTCTTGAATTTTTGCACTCGCTAGGCCCTTGTTCTTGAATTTTGCAGACGCTAGGCCCTTGTTCTTGAATTTTACAGACGCTAGGCCTTGTTCTTGCAATTTTGCAGACGCTAGGCCCTTATTCTTGAATTTTTGCAGACGCTAGGCCCTTGTTCCTGAATTTTTGACGCAGATGCTAGGTCCTTCTTCTTGCAATTTGCAGATGCTAGGTCCTTGTTCTTGCAATTTTGCAGACGCTAGGCCCTTGTTCCTGAATTTTTGCAGACGCTAGGCCCTTGTTCTTGAATTTTTGCAGACGCTAGGTCCTTGTTCTTGCAATTTTGCAGATGCTAGGCCCTTGTTCTTGAATTTTTGCAGACACTAGGCTCTTGTTCTTGAATGTTTGCAGACGCTAGGCCCTTGTTCTTGCATTTTTGCAGACGCTAGGCCCTTGTTCTTGCAATTTTGCAGATGCTAGGCCCTTGTTCTTGAATTTTGCAGACGCTAGGCCCTTGTTCTTGAATTTTGCAGACGCTAGGCCTTTGTTCTTGCAATTTTGCAGACGCTAGCCCTTGTTCTTGATTTTAGTCCTTGTTCTTGAACTTTGCAGAAGCTAGGCCCTTTTTTGCAATTTTGCAGACGCTAGGCCCTTGTTCTTGAATTTTGCAGACGCTAGGCCCTTGTTCTTGAATTTTTGCAGACGCTAGGCCCTTGTTCTTGCAATTTTGCAGACGCTAGGCCCTAGTTCTTGAATTTTTGCAGACGCTAGGCCCTTGTTCTTGCAATTTTGCAGACGCTAGGCCCTTGTTCTTGCAATTTTTGCAGACGCTAGGCCCTTGTTCTTGCAATTTTGCAGACGCTAGGCCCTTGTTCTTGAATTTTTGCACTCGCTAGGCCCTTGTTCTTGCAATTTTGCAGACGCTAGGCCCTTGTTCTTGCAATTTGGAGATGCTAGGCCCTTATTCTTGAATTTTTGCAGACGCTAGGCCCTTGTTCCTGAATTTTTGCAGATGCTAGGTCCTTGTTCTTGCAATTTTGCAGATGCTAGGTCCTTGTTCTTGCAATTTTGCAGATGCTAGGCCCTTGTTCTTGAATTTTTGCAGACGCTAGGCCTTGTTCTTGAATTTTTGCAGACGCTAGGTCCTTGTTCTTGCAATTTTACAGACGCTAGGCCCTTGTTCTTGAATTTTTGCAGACGCTAGGCTCTTGTTCTTGAATTTTTGCGGACGCTAGGCCCTTGTTCTTGCAAATTTGCAGACGCTAGGCCCTTGTTCTTGCAAATTTGCAGACGCTAGGCCCTTGTTCTTGAATTTTTGCAGACGCTAGGCCCTTGTTCTTGAATTTTTGCAGACGCTAGGCCTTTGTTCTTGCAATTTTGCAGACGCTAGGCCCTTGTTCCTGAATTTTTGCTGACGCTAGGCCCTTGTTCTTGAATTTTTGCAGAAGCTAGGCCCTTGTTCTTGCAATTTTGCAGACGCTAGGCCCTTGTTCTTGATTTTTTGCACTCGCTAGGCCCTTGTTCTTGAATTTTTCCAGACGCTAGGCCATTGTTCTTGCAATTTTGCAGACGCTAGGACCTTGTTCTTGAATTTTTGCAGACGCTAGGCCCTTGTTCTTGCAATTTTGCAGACGCTAGGCCCTTGTTCTTGCAATTTTTGCAGACGCTAGGCCCTTGTTCTTGCAATTTTGCAGACGCTAAGCCCTTGTTCTTGAATTTTTGCACTCGCTAGGCCCTTGTTCTTGAATTTTTCCAGACGCTAGGCCCTTGTTCTTGCAATTTTGCAGATGCTAGGCCCTTGTTCTTGAATTTTTGCTGACGCTAGGCCCTTGTTCTTGCAATTTTGCAGACGCTAGGCCCTTTTTCTTGCAATTTTACAGACGCTAGGCCCTTGTTCTTGCAATTTTGCAGACGCTAGGTCCTTGTTCTTGAATTTTTGCAGACACTAGGCTCTTTTTCTTGAATTTTTGCAGACGCTAGGCCCTTGTTCTTACAATTTTGCAGACGCTAGGCCCTTGTTCTTGCAATTTTGCAGACGCTAGGCCCTTGTTCTTGAATTTTTGCAGACGCTAGGCCTTGTTCTTGCAATTTTGCAGACGCTAGGCCCTTATTCTTGAATTTTTTCAGACGCTAGGCCCTTGTTCTTGAATTTTTGCAGACGCTAGGTCCTTGTTCTTGCAATTTGCAGACGCTAGGCCCTTGTTCTTGATTTTTTACAGACGCTAGGCCCTTGTTCTTGCATTTTTGCAGACGCTAGGCCCTTGTTCTTGAATTTTTTTGCAGACGCTAGGCCCTTGTTCTTGAATTTTTGCAGACGCTAGGCCCTTGTTCTTGCAATTTTGCAGACGCTAGGTCGTTATTATTGAATTTTTGCAGATGCTAGGCCCTTGTTCTTGATTTTTTGCAGACGCTAGGTCCTTGTTCTTGCAATTTTGCAGACGCTAGGTCCTTGTTCTTGCAATTTTGCAGATGCTAGGTCCTTGTTCTTGAATTGCAAGAACAAGGGCCTAGCATCTGCAAAATTGCAAGAACAAGGGCTAGTGTCTGCAAAATTTAAGAACAAGCCCTAGCGTCTGCAAAAATTAAGAACATGGGCCTAGCGTCTGCAAAAATTCAAGAACAAGGGGCTAGCGTCTGCAAAATT